GGAAGCCTGCTTCTCCCTCTCCCACTCCCCCTGCTTGTGTTCCTGCTCTCACTATCTCTCTCTCTGTCAAATAAATAAAATCTTTAAAAAATAAATAAATAAATAACCAAACCTCTTAAGGTGCTGAAGATCCACTACTTGCAGCTGAGAGCTGAGGACAGTAAATGAGTATTTGAGAAAGGGCTTAGTAGTACTCTACACCTCTCCTGCCTCTCTACAAATGCTGTTGGGAAGGCCCCTAAAATGTTGGGGGGTCAGGGGTCGGGTGAGACTGTGCAACAAAAAAAAGATCTATTTATCTGGCCACTAAGCCCTTTGTAAACTTGACTATTGTGGGTGAACCATACCTTTATCAAGATAGACTTTAACCACTATAAATGGGGTGTGACTTAATACAGGCCTCCACACCCTTCCTCTTTTCCTACACGATAAAGTCTATTTTGATTATGTAAGTTTGAAACTGGAGGTCCTTCAGTAGGGATTCACCAAAGAATATTACTACTGTCTCAGACTCCACTCATTTACAGCTTGAAAACAGCTAGTAAAGAAGTTTACTCCACCACAATCATCACTATTATCACCACTGAAAACTCTTCAAAGGACAAAAATAGAAACCCCAAAATAGACCAGTAGCAAATACTTAACCTTTACAGTGCCATCAGAGGATGCACTAATAATATAATGTCCATCTTGTGTAAAAGTTGCTTCATTAACAAAGGAGGAATGGCCACGAAATTCCTTCAATGTTTTCCCAGATTTTAAACCATGAATTCTATCACAAACAAAAAGAAATTTACAATTAATATTCTACAGAATGCAGGGCGCCTGGGTGGCTCAGTCGGTTAAGAGTCTGCCTTGAGGTCATGAAACCAGGGTCCTGGGATGGAGTCCCACATCAGGCTCCCTGCTTGGCGGGAGTCTGCTTCTCCCTTTCACTCTGCCTTTCCTGCCCACTCGTGTGTGCTCTCTCTCGCTCATTCTCTCACAAATAAATAAAATCTTAAAAAAAAATAGTTTATGTAATAAAAATATTCTATAAACTGCAGTTGGGACCAAATATTCTTTCAATGAATTACAGAAGCTCAATTTATAATATCAGGTGAAGAAAGAGGACTATGCAATTATGTATGTAGTAAAATTTTCATTATGCCAAACAAAACAAAAACAAAAGCTTGGCACAAAGACTGGAAGAAGGGGCACCTGGGTGGCTCAGTAGTTAAGCGTCTGCCTTTGGCTCAGGTCATGATCCCAGGGTCCTGGGATCAAGCCCCACATGGGGCCCCCTGCTCGGCGGGAAGCCTGCTTCTCCCTCTCCCACACCCCCTGCTTGTGTTCTCTCTCTCACTGTGTCTCTCTCTGTCAAATAAATAAAAAAAATCTTAAAAAAAAAAAAAAAAAGACTGGAAGAAAATATGCCAATAATACCATAGGCTTCTGTTCAGGGACATACTTCTAGGTCTTGGCTATATTTGTAATATGTCCTCTATGGTGCTTCTGCTGCAGGTGGGTCAAAAATCACACTTTGAGAAACATGAAACACTGCTATAATCCCTTTCTCTCTTCTGGGTAGACTCAAATGAACAAAATAATAATGAGGTCTCACATACACTGACTCTTCATATAACACCATCCTGGTGAAAGCATAAGGAATCACGAGTACCTCCCTCCAGTGCTTCATTATAGCAAACCCAAGTGAGGGAGTTTGGGGACTCTTACTTACCGAATTGTCTGGTCAAAAGAGGCACTAAGGATCTGACTGCTATCCTTAGAAAAGCTTAGACAGGTGACACCTTTACTGTGTGCCCTTTCAAATCTCCTTAAACACTGTCCACTCTGAATCTTCCATACCTTTACATAAAAAAAAAAATAGCAAAAACTTGTAAACAGAGTCCCACTCTAGCCTGCAGAGCCAAGCAAGATGCAATGCTCAATACTGTACTAAAACAGCATTAAAAATGCATGCTAATAGTTGAATATGGCTGCTTCACATAGTGCAATAACTGAATCCTCTGAAACTTAAACCTCTTTCCTTGTAAATTATTAAAACAAAAATTCAGACTCAAAGTTCACTTAGCAGAGACTTTTCTGTATTTTATCTAGCCCAGGGTGTTTCACCAGCAATTAAATACAAACCACAGCTAATCAACAGCAGACCACCCCATTCCCTAAAAAAACCCCAAAGTACAACACATCATATAAGGTGAGCCAGGGTGGTACAGCAGAAAGGGCATGAGGAGCAGATCTAAGTTGAAGTCCCAATCTATCAGTTACCAACTGTGTGACCTTAAACTGATTATTGAACCTCCTGAGGCAGAGTTATTAGGATTAAACAAGAAAAAGTAAATTAGCATAAAGCTGATGCTCAACAAAGTTGCTACTATTAAGCTATCACATGTGGAACACTACCTCATTGCAGAAGTATCAAAATGTCTACATATAAAGGTTTGTGCCACTAATAAATACCTTGATTTTTCCATCTTGGGCCCCAGTTGC